CAAGGGCCTGAGTTCAATCCTCAGTTCCGGGAAAAAAAAAAGAAAAGGATATTGCAATATTAATCAATGTTCTAATAATAATTGCTTTTCCACTACTTACTTTTGGGAGGCACCAAAGAAATTTTGAATAATGAGTGAAAGATGACTATAGTAATATTGATGATAATAATAACGACGACCAACATTTGGAGGTACTTCTGCTTCCTGTATGTCACCATAAACATCTCACTATTGTATGGATATTATTATTATCATCAATTCCACTTTACAAATGCAGATGACACTAAATCTCAGAAGAAGTAAGCGATTTTCTCCACAGCACATATTAACAAAGAGCTGGCATTTTAATCCTGAATTTATCTGATATCAGAGTATATACAGAATAGTTAGCATAGATATACAGCTACTTTCTCTTAGTTCAATGAGAAGAAAGTTTTGAACTATAATAGTGTTTAGACAGGATATCATGTTTGCATCTTGCACTGTGAGTAACTACTACAAAGACAACAATATGCAATGTATTAATTATTGTAACTATCCTACTATCCTGTTTTGAAACTATATCATTGCTGTTTTTTTCTCAATGAAATTAATATGAAGAAATAAAGTCTATAGCACTGATAAAAATAGAGATACAATGAATTTGGGTGAGAGCCGTCCTTCATAGAGAGGCATCAACCTGCTCCTCTGTTCCATCTATGTATTGTCAAGTACAGCAGAATGCTTCTGCCTTGGTTGACAAGAAAGCACAGCCAGTCAGTGAACCAAAGGGATCTATAGGTGCGTCTGCTTAAGGTGACGGCCTTATGATATGCCTGGAGCACAAAGTGGGTCTAAAGAAATGCTTCAGTTAGGGGAGTTGGGCTGGGCCTCCTTCAAGGAGGTGAAGGAAGCACCGCAGGTTTGTGGTTAGCTGAACTTTCCCAGGCTTCTCAGCTGGGTCTTAGAAAGTTCATGCGAGGACCTGGCTGGTTAAAACTGGTAAATTGAACATTCCTCATTCAGTGTACTTGTCAGGTTACAGGCCCGTTCTAAGTCACGCAGCATTAAATAAACAGAGCTTTACAAAAACATCCAGCTCTGTATACATCTTATCTAATCATCTGCTCTTCCATATCAGGTGAATGTCATGCACTTTGTAGATGACTGTTGCCGAAGCTGCAGAACAGCTGAGAGGCATCTTAGTGCTGGTAGGGCAACAGGGAGGCCAGTGCTTCCCTGGGGGGTTAGTTTTTAAAAGAATCTGTTTCTCCATGGTCTTCTGTGCCCTTTTTTGCACCGTACTATCTGCACGGATTACTTCCCATCTACATCAGCAGGAGACTTGGCTCGGAACCTCGTCAGTTATCTATATATAGATGCGTAATCTATGCAACGACACTCGTTTTGTTTCCCTATATAACTTTCTACCACTGATGGAATTGTTTTCAATGTTCTAAAACACAAGGTTCATTTAATTTAATCTCTCATTAGGTCATTTTAAAACAATGATTCTCAAACAAAGGTACTTTTGCCCCCCAGGGGACATCAGATGTCTGGAGGTATGTTTGCTTGTTGTGGGAGGGGTAAAGCAAAGCTACTGGCTTTTAATGGGTAGAGACTAGGGATTGGGTGAAAAATCTTATCACGCACAGGGAAGCTCCCATCACAAAGAACTGTCTGATTTCAAGTGACAGTGCTAAGTTTGAGAAACTCTGTCTGGGCTTTTATAAAGCCACTAAAATTCTCCTTTATGAAGTTCAAAAGATAAATTGGTCAGATTGCTGAAACAAATACACAGAGTTTGAACGTAAAATGCTCATCACCTGAGAGTTCATACAAAAATATTGAGCTGCCTGGGGCCCTGGGGGTAATACATTGAGTATTCTCTTAGTGACAGAAAGCAAGAGTAACTGTTTAGATAAGGCCCCAAACAGCTCTCTCTGATGTCACAGGGCCCATTCTTCTCTGTCTAGGCAAAGGGTAAGGTCAGATGTGGCAATGCTGTTCCAAACAGCAGCAGTGTCCCGAGCATTTGCATAGTATTATGACACCTCTACTCTTTGCCCTCTAGTGCTTAACTCAGACATCTCTTCTATAATGGAAAAAGAAAGTGTGTTTTGAGCACAAATGAAATTCTAAAATTGGGTCTTCCTTGGCAAAGAGAGTCCATATGCAATGAAATAACCTTTGAATGGCCACGGCTTTGTGTTGCTTTTACCAAAAGGAGCATTTCCCAGGAGTCATTTCCAAGGGCCAAGCCGTCACGTGGACTTTTCACCTGTGCTCCCCTTTGCCTGATTCTCAAAGCCCTGTCTCATCACATTTGAGGAGGCCTTGTACTTGAGCAAGCTAAACAGTCACGGCTCTGCCTTTGCTGACCTCCCTGTAATAAGCGCTATCTACCTCTGGTTGCTCAGAATGAAATAAGGCACTGGGCAGTTAAACACTCTGGCCTGACTCAAGTGGCACCTTGAGGACACTGCAGGAAACTGGCTGTGGGATTTCTGAATTCTAATTAAAGCAGAAACAGAGATGTAGTGATCTAGAAGAGTTAGAAGAGCATTGGAAGTGCTGAGTCTCTTCCTTTTGCTTCTTACATGTATTGGAATCTAAGTTTAATTTTTTTCTTTGATTCCACAACATAAAATTAATGGTAATAACAATAAGAATGAAGTCAAATGTCACCATCTGGGAAAGTGTGAATTTTGAGTGAGGTGAAGTGGTGCTAACATGCAATTGTATGCATTGGTTGAGTAACTAGACACACAAACAATCTCTGCTTGCACAACCTGTGTTTGGATGTGCGAATGCAGGTGATCACATACAATTCAGAAACCACTTTGAAAAGCAGAGCACAAAACCTATAGGCGCAGCCTCTGGTGAATCTGACCCACGTGTAAGGAAAACAGGATACTGTTCTTGGACTTGCGAGTGGCAAGATTTATGTTTCAGAATATTGCAACATAACTTCCTTCCCCCAGTTTCCTTTGTGCATTGTATGAAGGAAGAGAATAAAGAACTGCTTTTACAGTACAGCCGTGTGTAAAGATGGGTGGCATGTAGTTCTTTTAAACAGCACATGGGCCTTTCTAGGTCACTGCAGGCCATCGTGTCCCTGCTTTATTTAACACCTGTTTTAATACTTCCATGATACAATGAAATGACATCTTTCATTCATTCACCATGTACTTCTGAAAGTAGCTGCTAGGGTTCCTTAGGACAGTGGCGGGCAAGAAATTACCTGTGCCATTACTCAGAACATGCTGTGTGACTCATCTTTGCTAATGGGGAGCAGACTTACAGCTATGGCTGGCATTTCTGCTTGGAAATTACAGGAGCTCTGAGTTCTGACTGGGAAGGAACTTCTACAGGACAAGGACAGTGAGCGGTGGCTCTCTGTTGTCTGTATATACAGCATCTTGCTACATGCTGGGCAGGCAATGAATGGTAGAAGTTTTCAAGAACACATAATCATTATTGGGACTATGGATGATTGCACATCTTTTCTCCTGGCTCTCAGTTATGTTCTAAATTTTTCAAGAATGAGCATATGTTATATACCTATTAAACAGTCTGAATACAACCAATCCAGGAAATTCAATAGACCATGAGTATTTGGAAATAGGGAATTTGTCTATCCTGTTCACTAAAGTTTTCTAGACATTATTGCTCAGGAAACAGTAGATAGTACCTACAGGCACAAAAAGAGGTCTGTGTGGTAAAATAATTTAAATCTAGTTTTGGGATTATAGTGAAAAAATGTGACACAAGTAACAAAAAATGCAAGACTGTGTATATACGTATGCACGTGAAATTATGCTTTCATATTAATAATTAGAAAATAATGCTAGACTGTATATCTGTGTGTATATATTTGTGTGTGTGTATGTATGACTATACATGCCATATTTACTAGCGATTGACAAATATTGCCAGAGTCTGTT